GATGTTGAAAGGTGATCACATTTTTTAAAAATGTTAATTTTTCATAATTCAAATATTTATTTTTATATTTTCTTTTGATGATTCAATTTTGTACTTCTAAATTTCTAATATACTTCTTAATGATTCATATCTCTAACATAATTTGTATCTGTTCATACACCTCTTTGCCAATAAATTTATGACCCACATGAAGAAGAGAGACCTATTTGAGAAACAAAAGGGACCCACTAGAGAACAGATTAAAATCATGCTGTCCATTTTCAAAACACTCATTTTCCCTTTGTTTGAACAAGTCCAACTTATCATTATTATTCCCTCCACATGCAAATGGAATTTCCACAGCAAAATCAAGTTCAAATAAGAGCTGTTGTTTTCTAAACCCCTAGGCCATGCATGTCTAGTTGGTCTAAAATTTCTCCAATTAGTTGAGAAAGTTTGAAAAAAGGGGTTTTTTTTTCATTGATTGAATGAAATTGGAGGGAATAAACACACAGGTTTTTCAAAAGAAACGAAACTATGCCTTTTCTTTTACCATCTTTTCCTTTAAGAAATGCATTCAATAATTTTAGGGCAAATCAATAATAATTATTTGATCATAATTTAATAACATTTGATATACTTTATCCTAATAATAATGGATAGAGAGGTTCCAAGCTTTCGGCTTTAAGCAAAAGCCAAAAGGTACCAGCTTTCCTGACAAACAGATACATTTTTATGAGGTCGACAGTGACAAAATTCAAATACAATATTTAATGATAGATAATAATATTAATTTTTATTTGAAAATGAAAATAATGTTTTATACTCGTTAATGAAGAAGTACTTTCATGGAGGACCAAGTTTGAAGACTTTTGTACCATACCAAATCTAATGTTGCACAAAATCAGCTGAAATATTATGTCAAAACTCACAAGGAACAACAAACCCTGCAAATCCTTCAATCATTCACCAAACCTTTGACACAGATTCAAAGCCTCATTTTGCCAAAATATTTTCAAAAATCTCAACCACTGCCATCATTTTAATCTCTTCTGCTGCCTTTCTGCAGCAGAACTGTTGTTATCTTTTGCTTGCAATTTGGTCAAACCACAAGAAACAAACACAATCTTCCTTTTAGGAAAACAGTCTAAATTTGCAGTCATTGATGGTAAAGAAAAGAGTTATAACTTACATGATGATTATGGTGGGGGAAAATTGGATAATTTTAGAGTTTTAAATGAAAAATTAAAATTGATTTAAGTTGTTGAGGAAAATGTAGAATTAATTGTTGGTGTATAAAAATGTAGATGTATACGGCGTGAGTAACGTGAATGTCACAAACGATAGAGTTTTCTATGAGTTTACGAATATTTTAAATCAAATAAAACATGCATTTTAATAAATTATACTTTAAAATTAAAAGAATAAATATTAAAAGGTTCTTTTAATCAAACTATAATTTTAGAAATTGGTTGATTCCCATTAATGAAAGGTTTTGTTAGGTCTTTCACAATATGAAATCCTTATAAATATCATATAAACATAGTAGATTAAACACAATTAAAATAACTCAAAAAACTATTATTTTCTTCTCATTTAGTTTTTTGTGATAGATGAAGGCAATGGAATAATTCGTGATCTCAAAAAAAGTGCATTTGTAACTGATCATCTAATTATTGTATCTTGAGAGACATACGATCGAGTGACCGAAAATCTATCTTTAAGAAAACAATGTAAATACATGCTTCAACGCGTTTCTAATCATATATTTATTTTTATTCTATTTTTTATTATTTAAATAATTTTTTTTATTGTCACATATTACTATATTTAGGCAAGAGGATACCTAAGGCCCTTGTACTTTTAAAAAAACCAACGTGGCCGTCAACTTTTTTTGCACCTAATATGGTTCTTTGACCAATGTTTTTCATCTTTAATCAATGGCACCGAAGTTTTGTGCTAATGTGGCACGTTAAGCAGACCGACATCATATTTTTCTATCTCAATTTGGTCTTCTAACTCGATAAAATAACTCAATTTGGCCCTCCTATTCGTTTCTATTCTATTTTGGTCACTAAAATTTAGAAGTTTTCAATTTAACCACTCAACTTTTGAATTGCTTCTATTTTAATCATCATGATTTATTCTATTAGTATTTATTTATGATGTGTCATTTATGTATGATGTATCATTTTTTTCTTTTCAACCCAAGATTTCTTTTTTTTCTTTCATTACAAGATTCAATGAACTCATATTAAACTTGTAAAAAAATTAAAAAAATTTGAGGATGAGCTATTTTATCGGGCAATGAAAGGAAAAAAATCTTTGGTTCAAAAGGAAGAAAAATGAAATGAGAGGATAAAGAGGTGACTGGAGATTTGGAAATATATAAAGCATAAAGAATATTTTTCAATTTAATTATAATTTTGGAATATTTTTTGTTTCAATATAATCTTAAATTTTTAATCATATATTAATAAAATAAGAATAATAAATTCTGCTTCATACATAAATATTAAGAAAATAAATCATGATGATTAAAACAAGAGTAATTCAAAAGTTGAGTGATTAAATTAAAAAAATTAAATTTTAGTGAACAAAATAGAAGACAAACAAATAGGAGGGTCAGATTAAGTTATTTTTCTTGAGTTGTTAAGATAGAGAAATAGGATGTTCTGCTTAACGTGTTACGACATCACAAAATAACAGAACAGTTAGTTAACAACAGAAAATATTGATCAAATTACTACATTAAATTTTTTTAACTTAGAGGGCACATTAGGTAAAAAAAAAAAAGAGTAAAATGCCACATTAGTTTTTTCTTTTAAGTACGAAGGCGTTAGGTATCTTTTTACCTTATATTTATAACATATTATTTATTAATTGCAGTCTATTACTCTATTTTATGTGTTCTGCCAATTCTGGTGCATAATTTCAGAGTCAAACTGAATCAATTTTGTATTTTTAATTTTAAAGGGTGTCAAGCTTGTTCCTTTGCAGGCCATGATCCAGCAATGTAAATAAAAAAAGAAATGTTGATGATTATGGATTTCCAATTGGAATGATTGACAGTGATTCTGTTACTGTTTTCGGCAGGCCATGCAAGTTACTATACATGCTTAAATGAAATTCCCACTCCCCCCCCCCCCATCATTACTGTCCTTGAGAAGGCCATGGTGGTCTTCATCATTTCCATGAATTTGTTTTGTATTTTGGTTTAAAACCCCTTTCAGAGGAACTAAAACATTGCTACAAAGATTAGTTGTTTGTAGTAATGGTAAATTACAAAATTAATCACTTTATTTTACCCTTATTCCTATTTTATTTGTTGAAGTTTAATTTTTAAATTTACTTACTCGAGTTTTAAATTATTTGTACTTTAAACACTCATCGTCTCGACCCTAAACTATCACTTACCTCACATTATTATTTTTTAAATCTCAAACCCTAATCAGTTTCACCTCATTCTTCAAGACCCCCAAACTCTCACCGGTTATCTTAAGTGTCAAACCTTCAGTGGCATCACCCTTAGGGGGTGTTTGGATGGGGGAATGTGGGATTCCCATGGGAATGGAATCCACATTCCCACGTTTGGTTAGGTCGGGAATCTCATTCCCGGTAATGTAAGATTACCAATAGTGGATTTTTTGGGGTATATTACCGGGAATGTCATTACCTCCCTTTCCTTAGGTATTGTTGGATTACCGACGTTTTGGACTAAAATGCCCTTAAATTTTTATTTTTTTTCAAAAATATTATTCTTCTGTCATTGAATAATAAAAATTATACGAAGGTTAAATTACAAATTTATCCTTAAATTATTTTAGATTTATAAAAAAAAATCTATAATTAAAATTTTATATGAAGTTCAGGGGTTAAAATAAAATTTTACCCTTTCATTAAACCTTTTTTATATTTTTAATTTTGTAAAAAATATATAAATATTATAAATTTAATTTTTTTTAAAGAAAATATATAAATATTTTCCAATTTGTAATATTATACAAATATATAATAAAGACAATTTGGTCAAATATACATTCAATAATATTTTATTCTTTTAACCAAACACGGTAATCTTACATTCCTGCTAAGTCAACCAAACACAAAATACAACATTCCCAGTAATCCTATTCCCTGGTAATCTTACATTCCCACTGGTAATCTTACATTCCGTGAACCAAACGCACCCTTAGTTCATTGTGAGATCTTAATACAATAGACATATAATGTGTGAAATCAACACAATCATTGCCTAATCGATTGATTAATAATCAATATCTAATCTAATATTTTAGCATGTAATCTCATTTGATTTAAATATTATATTTTCGTTCGAAAGTGTGAAATTAACTTAATGAAATTTTTTGACATTGGTGATGATCGACAATAGACAGCGTGATAGTTAGTCACGGTCAGTGACGAAACTATGCATGGCTTCAAGGGGGGCCACTGCCCCCAATTTTTTATTATTAAAAATATATAGTGATAAATACATATTTAGACTTTTAAGTTTTGATATATTTTGATTTTGTCACTTCTAATTTTATTGTTAATTATATGTTTCTCCCCTTGAAAAAGAATTCTGGTTCCATCCCTGGTCACGGTAGACAGAGTACGGAATCCATAAAAATTGAAAGAAGTTCAAAACATGAGCAATTTGAAAAATTCAGTGATTAAATTGAAAAAAGTAAATTTTAGTAACCAATATAGTAGCAAGAATAAAGCTCAGTGGTACAATTTGTAATTCACTCTTGTAGTAATGGAAGAATTCCCTGTTTTTCCATTTGAGTCCAGAGTTTGAAACTTTAAAACGGCGTCGGGGCCGCCAATACGGCCACGTCAGGTGAAACCACATTGTAATGATGTGGCGAGATCTTATTGGATGGAAGTTGCAGAAGGTTGATGATGAGGTGGGTGGAGAAGAAAAAATCATGATTTGAACAGTGGTCAAAGACCTATACACTTGTCAACTACAAAACACTAAAAACATAGTCTCTCTCGTGTTTTTTACCCTCTCCGTCTACAAAGACAGCAACTTTAGAGTGAGAAAAAAAAAGTGATTTGAGAGAGAGAAACATCTAATGGAGTATGAAAGAATAGACAAAGTTCAGGTAAGTTTCTGTATGTTAATGGTGGGTTTTGAAGTTTGTGTTTTACGAGTTGTTTCTTCTTTCCTTCAAAATCCCTTGCTTTATCCACACCTGCAGAGTGGTATTTCACCAAGTAAACTGAGGATGAAGCTGATGGGGCCTCATCATCTGAGAAAGAAAGATGGATCAAATGGCAATTCTTCGAGGACATCTCCTTCTAGGATTGAAGATTCTGAGTTTGTCAACAGCCTCTTAGCCTCTAAAAATGAACACTTTGATGAACAAGGTTTGTTATTTTCTCTCTCTTTTTCATGATCCTCTCTCATTTCCTGGAAATATGGGTGAAAATCTTCCACTTTTGAATTCTCATGGTGTCTGTGAATTAGTTATAGGTAAACATTGTTTTAGTATTTGAGCATTGTGTTATCTAAACCTATGCAGTTAAAGTGTCCGATGAGTCAATGATGGATTGTAGTCTAAACGAGCAAATCACTAGCCACTCGAAAGAATCATTGCCAGGGGAGAGCATCGAAGTAGGCCGAGCGAAATCCATGCGTTTTTCGAAGATCGATAACGGTAATTCGAGCTCAATTCATCCAATTAGAACGGTTGAAGATGAAAATCCTGATTCGGATAGTAACGCCAGTTCATCGAGCTTCGAGTTTCATAGAGGGGAGAGAGCGGTACCGGCTTCGATGGCAAGGTCGTACTCTAGACCGATGTCGTCGAAGTGGAATGACGCCGAGAAATGGATATTGAACAAGCAAAACGTGCAAGATATGAATGCTAAGAAGAATGCACTTCAAAACCAAGCTAATCGAATTCCAATTACCAATATGAGAGTTGCTCCGGAATCTGCAAACTCTGATCATAGATTTAATGTTAATGGGGTAACCGATGCTAAGACACTCGATTTCGGTCATCCTCCAATGCAGATGCTAAGCCGGGAACCGAGGGAAATGGTTCGGACAGATATATTTTGTTCGAAAAGTCCGGCAGAAGATACAACAGGTAGCTTTGATTACATATTTGCTACTTGGAGATTGTACATATTGTGCTTCCTGGTTGATTATAAAGAAATATTGTATGATTTGATCATCATGATGAAATCGTTATTAAGAACATCGAAATGTCTGAATCGTCGTTTTGAATAATCTTAATCTCATACCTTTTGATTTGTGCTTGTAGTTTTGCCTACCATTCGATCGGTTTGCATGAGAGATATGGGAACTGAAATGACCCCTGCTGCAAGTCAAGAGCCATCAAGGACTTCCACACCTGTAGGGGCGACAACCCCACTCCGAACTCCGACATCTTCAGTCCCGTCTACTCCGCATAGAGTGGCACCGACATCGACACCTTTGAATCACACAACGGTTTCCGACTCGCATCATCCGTTTGATAACAGCAAGAAAGAGTTGTCCGAACAAGACATGAAGCTGAAAACAAGAAGAGAGATTGTAGCCCTTGGTGTACAGCTTGGGAAGATGAATATCGCCGCTTGGGCGAGCAAAGACGAGACGGGAAAAAGCATGCCTTCGGTTGAAGCCACTAACATAAAGGAGCTTGAACAAATTGAATACGAAAAGCGAGCGGTTGCATGGGAGGAAGCCAAGAAGTCTAAGCATACCGCAAGGTTCTAATACGACGGAACATTTTGCAAATCGTTTATAATGATGTATACTCTTAAAACTATCTCCCGTCGAGTTACGTTTTCCGATTGCATATTTCGATTTTTCAGGTATAAGCGCGAGGAGATCAAAATTCAAGCATGGGAGAGTCGGCAGAGAGCAAAACTAGAAGCTGAAATGCAGAGAATCGAGGTATTTAGAAGCCCTTTCACCATGACATACTCGAAATGCAGTTGGTTTTCGGTTGAGATCATGCAGTTAACTTAATCACATGACTTCATAAGATCTAAAGCATATGATTCGAGTCTTCTCTCGTAACCGAATCAGCTGCAATCAATCACCGAAGTATCAGTAATTTTTTGTGATCATATAGCTATTGGAAATAGTTACAAGTCTTTTTTTTTCAGGCAAAAGTAGAGCAAATGAGGGCCAAAGCTCAAGCACATATGGTAAAGAAGAATGCAATGGCAAGTCAAAGAGCGGAGGAGAAACGAGCTGCGGCCGAGGCCAGAAAAAACCTAGATGCCGAAAGAACTGCTGCACAGGTAGAATATATTATCCGGACTGGACGATTGCCGTCGTCGCATTTCACGTGTTGTGGTTGGGTGTAGTACTATAGCAATCCACAAAAGGCAAAACTGATGATACAAATGGGCCAAGAACGGTTTTTGTGTTTATGGTGTGGCGTAATTTTGTGTTGCATGAAAAGGATGAAATTAGTAGTTCAATTGGGCTCCTTGAGTATCTATATGGGTGCCAAATTCCCCTAGTGTAAGGGCCTTGCACTCATGGTAAGGCCCTGTCTTTTTCGAGTATGATCTAATCGAGTGAAAAAATCTGAAGTTAATTTAATTGATGAATCATATTTTATATCAATTTAACATTTTTAATCAAATCAAGTTGAACCAAAAATAAGAAATACATTGGTCTAATAATATTCAAACTTATTCAAATTTGAAAAATTCAAATAATTGGAGTCGATTAGCTCAAACTTATAGCCATTTTCTGTAACATGTCATGGTCTGCCGAAATCAATACCCCTGGTCCCATCTCAGTTAGATTCTAATGGAAATCATTGAGAAAATCTCCCATTGTCATCGGCTTGCATGTGAATTCCTCCCTATTTTTCCAACTAAAACAGAAGAATCTTAATAATTTTTCAGTTCTAAGAACCAAGTATGGTCATAATTTGGCAGACAATTTGCAGCACATTGCCTTCATGGTGCCCATCATATGACACTCGAGTTATGTGCTGGAAAAAAAATCAGAAGTTGGGGGACTTAAGAAATAGTTGAACATCAAGTTCATTGACAATTGGTTACTCAAGAAATGAGTTGGAAAAAGCTAAGCTTGCTTCATAGATATTTGATATATCCTAATAAATATATATGTATGGTGTGTAGCTTTTATGAATATACACTCTTCAAGCTAGTTAGGCAGCTGCTTCCACATACTATGATAGGTTTTTTTTTTTTTGCAAGACTGATATTACAGGAGAAAAACAGTTTCATAACCGGTCAAGAATTCGTTCAGTGGTCCAAAGAACCAACAGAGGCGAATCTGGAGCTCAGATTTCTGGAGTCCTGTCGATTCACGTAGTCATCGCAACTGCCATTTGTGAGCCTCTGAACTGGCACAGAGTTCAGAAGCTCCTTGCCTCGTTTGCCCATCTGTTGCACTTCCTGTGGAGAAAGTATCTTGATACACCATACACTGTTAACAAACTCCCTGGTTGAAGAAAAAACGAAAGATAAATCCGGATTTAAAGAAAAAGTTGGCAGTGGAAAACATCTATACAATAGTAAGGAGAATGGAAACTCACGGCCAAGGGTCATCGCCGAGGAGAAGAACGTCATTCTCCCGGTCAACAAATAAAAGCTGCCAGCCTGATCTCAGGGGGTCCTCCAACTGGCCCTCAAGGCCAAACATACGAGCAAGTTCACCGCGGAGTTCATTGTAGCTGCTGAATGCAGAAATATCCAATGATCTCCCAAAGGACCCTGATTTATAAACCTGTTCATGGTGAAAACATTCGTATCAATTATCAACACATTTAGCACAGCTGACAGATCAGACTTGCAACATGATGAAGCGAATAAAACTTCAAAAACCTAGTCGAACTCATATAAATAAAAGAAGTAAAAGGAACAAACCTTAACAAAGGTTCTAGTTTGTTGGTTTCCTTGTCCCATGTTTTCCTGAGAATGCAAGAATCCAGATTCATCAATGCAACCGGAAGGTGTCATTGTTGGATTAACCAAAAAATCAGTCCCTGCAGTACTCATATAATTAGAAAAGAAGGGTATAGAAAAGGAATCACTATCAGTGCCAACTCCCCTAAGGCCTGTCATCCCGTTTTGCATTAGAACAGATGAAGGCTCTATATTAACACCAAATAAGAAAGGGCTATGTGGTTCTGTACCCCCTTGGTCTATTGAGCACTCCCTGCCGGGAAAAGGTAGCAATGAGATTGAATTTTGAGACATGTTTGTTTGGGATGGCCACGAATGTTCCACCTGTGGAGACCCAGATGAGAGAACAACAGCAGCCCGCTTAGATGGCCATGCAGCACAAGTTATTATGGGGTTGGTTCGGGGCAAATTGAGCAGATTGGAAGATTCATCTTGGGGGAAGGAACCCAACAGACTATGCAAAGGAGAAACGACAGGGCTGGTAACAGGGTTCCTATTTGAATCAGAAAAACTCTGTTGTTGGCATAGTGAATGGATGGGTTGCAATGGAGATGATTGGGATTGAGAGGCTGAAGCATACTGCGATTCGCCAGACATTGCATTAGAAATCTGCTGATGATCAACCAGTTGCTGCTGTGGCTGCTGTTGTTGTTGGTTAGTAAACAGCGGATGCTGGGGCTGTCGGTTACTAAACAACGGATGCTGCTGCTGCTGGTGTTGCTGTTGGTTACTAAATGAATTCTGATGCTGCAAATGTTGCTGAAGTACATGTGGCTGAGTTTGAGGCTGAGATTGATGCTGGTTGTCTTTGAAAACACCCTGAAGCATTTGGGGCTGCATTAGAGCGGCAGGTCTGCCGGGGACATTTTGGGGTTGCTGGAATTGCAGAAGGGAAGCAGTTGCTGATCTAGAAGGATCCACAGCCCTCATCTCTTGCAATGCTGCAGCAGCCATAGCTTGGTACATGTCACTCTGCAAACCCAACATGGAGGCCTCTAGCGTCGGCTTCATCCATGGGGTATCTCCGATCCCCTGAAAATTGAGATGTTGCATTCCTTGAGCTGCATCTCCTCTTACCCACATAAGTGGAGAACTAATTCCTAGACTGTCATCCTTGATGCCTATAAACAAAGAGAGACAAATCAAAAGGGATAAGGATGCTACAGAAATAAGAAAACTGAGTAGTTACACTGTACAGCCATGGAATTAGCAGTAGGCTAGCATACCATTAAAAGAAGGTAATCCCAGTGGCCATGGGCGCTTGAGCCTTAAAGAAAATGGAGATGGATACATTGGGAATGTTGTCAATGGTTCAATCTCCCATAAGGAAACTCTCGGCTGCCTTTCACCAGCTGTTGATTCATCCCAGCCAACCTGCACGAATAAGCTCAAATTCCACGCTATCATCAACATAGATAGAAACTCAAAAACAACAAATGTACAAATAATAAAAAAAACAAACGATCAATGCAACCATTCTAAACATGCCTTAACTGATCGCCAATGTGAATTTAGCCACCGAGCAGGATCTAAGTCACTTATGCCAGTTATCGTCCCCATGTATCTAGGCAATGCACAATCATCAGATACAAATTAAATAATGTTCACATGTAAACATAAGAAATGGGACACAAGCAAAGAATCATTGAAAAAGGCATTAGAAGAGAGCATAAATGGAACAGCATATCTTAGCATGACTGCAAATTAATCCTTTGCAAGGAAATCCAAGCCAGTCAGGCATCAGTTCCAAGGTTAAAAGGATGATAATCAAATCCTTTTGTAAAATCAACTGTTAAGAAGAATCAACTGTTAAAAGCCAATAAAAAGAAGCTTACCGACGAACACTTGATTCTTCTGTTTCAAACAGCATTCTAAAGCGCATACCAACAGAAACTCGAGTATGATAGACAGCTTTGATGTATTTTGAGAGAGGTATAACAAATTCTGATGGACTAGCCCTGGATCGAACAGGAATAAATTTAGATGGATTAAGGAATCAATAATCAGAACATAGCAATAGTAATAATCTGTGAAGCATAGCAGTATCATCATACCTTGGGTTATAAAATATAGTGAAGGGACTATTTGTTGCAGCTGCATGAGCAGCAGCAGCAAGAAGCCCTAAGTGCATACTATCACTTGATAAGACTGATGAAGGCATTACAGTTTGAGGTCGATTAGCTCGCCGGATACCAAGAAGTAATTGATTTTTGTCATTCCTATCAATATAACCCGTACACAGGTTTGAGCATCAACATACCTACAATCTAGAATTTCCACTGGAGCAAGCTAAAATGGAAGACAAGCCAGCAACCTACCAGATGAAAAGCACTGAATCACCCGCAACTAGTCTTTTAGCACTTACAAATACACTCCATCCTGTTGTCAAGAGATGCCTTTTGGGCTGGCCTGCATGGTGACAAGTCAATTACTGTTAGTTAAGGAATATGAAGAAAAAAGATCCATATTTTAAGAGGGAATGGGAATTCTTAATAATCTAACCACGAAATATATGCCTAAACTTCCATTCATTATCATGCAAGTCCCTTGCAATCAACTCTTGAGCTGGAGGTTGTTGGGAGAAGTCCTGTAAGTGATTAAAAGAATAAAACTACAAATACATCCTTGCAACTAAAAGCAAAAAAGGGATATCAACACTAATGGTAACGATGGTATACCAGTGGAGGAAACACTTTTTCAGCTGCACGGCGAGGAACAGAGAACCCTCCGTGAGTACTTGTGTCACTGGCTGTTAATGTTTTGCAGAAATAAATTGTCGGTTGTTTGCTGGGAGTACCGAATTCTGCAGGCAGATAAGCCTCCTTTTGTTCTTGCTGCAGAACAAGAAGTCTTCAATACTTGAAACAATCGATAAGACTAAAAAACTCAAGACAAACCCCAACATAAAATAGCATACCGGAGTCAGTGGTTGCAAGGTCATTTGTGCATATACTTCATCTGTTTCAACATCTGCCTGAAGTTTACGAATTCCAGGGCTTCAGAGACAAACCAAATGGAAGATAGCATCGGAAAACCAAATTAAACAAGCCTTACATGCATGGTAACATTGTGAAGCTGACAAAAAAGTTGTGGAGGTAAGCTCGGGTAGCTAGGTATGTGGGCATCCACTTCCTTATTGGTTGTGGCAGCTACCTACAAAGAAAAACCCAATAAATGCTTGGTTACTGAATATGATGTCAAATCAAGTACAACGAACCACAGTACATGGAAAGATCCAGAAATGTATTTCATAGAGCTCCACATACAATTTCTTATGATCCATGGCTATGCAAGCACTAAACGTAAAACATCCGATGGTTCCCACCATATATGATGAACCGTTTTTTCTCACAATAAACAATCTGAGTTTCCCGGGGATTTTCAAATATAATTACAAGTATATTGCAAGTTTTTAATGTTGGTGTTAAGAGTCCGATAAGTTTGAAAATTCCAGGCCAGGCTGGGATGTGCTCATGTCACACAAAAAGCCAATACAGTAAAATGGTATTTGGTGCTAACAAAGACACATCTAAAGATCACACTTTAGATATTTACATTCTTTCAAAATCCATACAGGAAAAAGTACAGTAATGATGATATGATGCCTGCAAATAACTTTTTTTCACTTATTTCCTCGGAAAAGACAGTGAAACAATATTTCATGATTTATTCTCCATAAAGCAAATACAAGTTGATATATACACACCATCCATTACCAAGAACAAGCTAAGCCAAAATTCAAGGATACCAACCTGCTCACTATGGCCCTGTGGGAAATAAACAACCCTACTTCCAACCAGAGGTAGAGAAACAAGAGGACCAGCACATGCATGCCAAAGCTCAGAGTTCAATACTCTCTCCTCCCCTGAGGGGTCTGTTCTTGCAATAATGTAAAACCATTTCAACAAAAAGTTAAAAGATAAAATAAATAAAGTCAAGCATGTAATCTAAAGGTCAGGGGATGCTTGAAAGATGGAAAATCCAAACTTCCAACAAATTTGGGTTTGCATTAAGCTCCAAAGAAAGGCTTGAGAAGAGCAAAATATATATATATATATATACACGAATTTGACATGGAAAAAAGAGTAATGAAATCAAAGGCAGAATGAAGTTTTAAAAATCTTCTTCACCCCAGAAAAGGAACTAATAAAAACAACTTCCACAAGCCAACAAATGAAAATCCAAATAAACTGAAATTACTGATCTGGGATTTAACATTTTAAAGATTTCAGCTTCTTCCAATGTTTTCTAAAGCCAAAAACAAAGCCAATTGGCACCCCACTATCAGCATCCATAAGATCATTCCAACTTCATCTCTCCCAAGGAACTCAATCTATTCCTTTACACACATAGAGAATACACACACAAAAAATAGAAGCATACCTTCCTGAGGTTGTGGATTGGCTCCAGCTGAAGAAAGTCTCATTTTTCCTTCAAGTAAGTAGAATAACACCTTTAAAATCCCAAAACACCTCCTTTAACCAGACCAGAGTCTTCCAAACGACACCAAAACCCCAAAACCTTTCTTTTTACTCCTTTGTCCACACAAAAAAAAAACACCATGCCTTAACAAGAACCGACTCCAGTTGAGCAAAAAGGCTTTAAAAAAACAGAACAAAGAACTCAACGCCCCAATACTTTTTTTATTCAACCGAAACCGGTTTTACTACAAAAGACAATAGCTTTCGGACTCATCCGCCTCCTATCTTCTTCCTCCCTCACCCCAAAAGAACCCAAGTGTTCTTTCTCTTGATCCGAAACGTTAATGCTAAAACAACATAATCTTCTCTTTTGCTATGTTTCCAAATCTTTATCCCCACATTTCATCTCCCAAAAAAAGACTTTTGATCCTTAAAAGTGTGACACCAAAACACTGAGCTTTTTTTCCCTCTCTCTGAGTTCCTCGAAGCTTGTAAACCACTAACCCCAGCAACCAAAAAACACCCAACAGATCTCGGATATAAAGATTTATTTTTGCCCCAATCCCTAACCAACAATGAAAAAAAAAAGCCCAGATCTTTATTCTCACTCACAAACCAAAACACAAGTACTGTTACTGTTTTGCATTCCAATTGTGTTTATAAGAAGTATTGGGTAATTTGTAGATACTTTTGGTACAGTAGAATCTATGTTATACATTGGACTACGGTTGAGTAGGGGAAAGTTTTTTAACTGGGATTTAAGGGACATTGGGGGGGGGGGGGAGCTGTTCTTGTTTCCAGTAATGGAAATAGTTGTTGTGACTGATGACTAAAGGAGAGAGAGAGTTTCGTGCTGCTGACTACTTGTACTATTTACTGCTCTTTGCCATTGCTGTTTGCTTTCTTCCTCTTTCACTCCCTTTTTTCCCCCTTATTGCTTTGCTCCACTAATCAATGAACATACGACCGCCATTACTCTTCCTTTTCCGCCGTTATATTTATAATGGTAAAAGTGCCCAAATAATAATGTGGAAATTTTTAATTCTTAAATTAATGAATTTATTCGATTAATTTTTGAAATAAGGTGTTTTTTATAAGATTTTGGGATATTTTGATAGAAAAAGAATTTAGCATTTTTGATATAGGGTGTTTTTTATAAGGTTTTGGAATCTATTGGCAGAAAACAAAAAATTGGTGTTTTTACATAAATATCACCTTAACATAAATTATTTACTTGTTAGGTATTGTTTAATAATATTTTACGAATCTAACAAATTTTTAAATACTTTTTATAAAATTATTTCTGCATTAAATTATACAATACAATTATGTCTACCAATTACACTTGACATTTTTTGATACGTTTTTTATCCTTTCAAAATCCTGTACGTATAGTATATTCTAAGAAAACTTTAAGATTAAATAATTTAAAATATAAATAATTTTATAAAATATTACGGATCATAATCATCATCATCCATCTTACCGACCCAACTGATTGTTCACACCATCCATCTCATTCTATAAATACTTCACTCTCAACTATTTTCACCACATCAAATCCTTTCAAATTATCTCAAAAACCAAACCTCGTTCAAATTTTATTTATAAGATATATTTTATTATATTTAATATTTTGTTAGTATTTTATTTAATTATTGTATTATTTAATTTTTTTTATTATTTTATTTAAATATTTTATTTTTTTGCTGTTATAAAATGGAAAGCAGTCTGCTTCGTTATATTTAATATTTTGTTAGTATTTTATTTAATTATTGTATTATTTTTTATTATTATTTTATTTAAATATTTTATTTTTTTACAGTTATAAAATAAAAAGCAGTCTGCTTCGTTATATTTAATATTTTGTTAATATTTTATTTAATTATTGTATTATTTAATTTTTTTATTATTTTATTTAAATATTCTATTTTTTTACAGTTATAAAATGAAAATCGGTCTGCTTCATTTGGATGAAAATCTGTATAAGTTAACGGAAACAATGATGTTGGATATATGTACTGAAGCGACGACATTCTTCTAGTTGAGAGGATTGCTGTGAATGTTTTCGGATTGAGAGCGTATTCATAGCCGAGAGAAAAGTCTAAAAGTCGATAAATACATATATAATTATTCAAGGCGCGACTCATGCATCGTGCCTATCTGGTGCGTGTGTCAAAGGGTGTTAGATCGGAAATATTATCTCAAATGGTGTCTGAAATGTAAATATTTAAGGAAAAAGTATTTTTTTCGTAAAAACTCCAAAAATACACATTAAACAGAGACGTCGAGTAATCCATGAAAATTTTAGCCCAAAGACGTCGAGATATCCTTGGGTCTTTAGGTAATTACTGTAGAAAATATGTTAGATCAGGAAATAATGTTGGAAGCACGTTAGTTTGGGAATTAAATACTGTAAGTAGCATTATATGAGCACTTTTACCTATTTATAATTAATAAAAATTTGGTAATATTATGAGAATAATTTCGAAATCGTTCTTTTATGAGAAAAATTTGCTTGTTAAAAATGACATCTTTTTATTAAGGGTAAACTACATGGGTGATCACTCAACTGTGGTCAAAAATTATTTTGATCACCGGTATTTTGATTTGATCAATCAGACCATCTAACTATTTAAATGCTTTAATCAAACGACTCTCTGTTAACATTTAACGGAGGAGGTGACGTGGTAGTTAAAAAATGTTGGTATAATTCCACAATTAGTCCATATTATTTATATATTCTTTCAATTTAATCTTAATTTTAATAAATTAAAATAAATTTAATCTTCCAATCATGAGGTGTCATGTGTCACCCTCTTGAAAAAAAATATAAATCACGCAAACATGCGATCAGACGGTTTCAAACCCATATCCCTTGGGTTGAATTAGATGGAGACAAAACATTGAGCCAAGGCACGTACTTGATATTTTATGGAGAACAAATAATATATATTTAGTATTTATGTAAATGTTTTACTCAAAATTAATAATATTTTATATATCTAAAATTTTAAAAATATATTTTATTTTTGTTTTAATTTATTAAATATATTTATGTTAAAATTAAAATAAAATATAAGTTGGGAAAAATATAAAATATATTTAATAAATTAAAAAAATAAAAGATATTTTTAAAATTTGAGCTATATAAAATATTATTAATTTTGAGTAAATCATTTACATTAATACAAAATATATTCTTTGTTGTCCATAAAATACCAAGTGCATGCCTTGGCTTAATAGTTTGGCTCCATCTAATTCAACCCAAGGGATAGGGGTTTGAAACCCTCTACTTGCATGTTTGTGTGATTTATAATTTTCTTTAATTAGGATCAAATTAAAACAATATCTAAATAATAGGGACCAATTATATAAAGTATACCAAAAAATTTTAACTGCCATGTCACCTCTTCCGTTAAATGTTAACATAGAGTGACTTGATTGAAGCATTTGAATAGTTAGGTCGCCTGATTGATCAAATTGAAACATTAGTGGTCAAAGAAATATTTGACCATAATTGAGTGGTTACTCGTGTAGTTTACCCTTTTTTAATACGATTGTGCATTATTTTCTTGTTTTAAGCTCTTCGATTACTTTCAAGTTATACGTAATTGTTTTAAATTTTATATTTTCAAGTTAAGAAAATCATTCAATAAAATATTAACAGACACAAAATTATATACTTGTTTTGACAAAAAATAGTGTAGAGAATTAAAGCAAAAAAAAGTCATAATTTAAAGACTTATTTTTAGGGATGGCAGTATGACACAAATCCGACGGAAAACCCGAAATCCGGTCAAGTTCGGGTCGGGTCGGGTATCGGAGATTTTTTCAGAGATTTTTTCGGGTCGGGTTTGGGGCAAGGTATCCCCGCCCCGATTATATATATATATATAATATTTTATATTTTTTATATTAATTATATATATAATATTTTATATTTTTATATTAATTGTATATAAAATATGTTTGGGTTCGGGTTCAGGTTTGGGTATAATATTTCGGGTCGAGTTCAGGGTTGGGGCAAAAAAAATCCTCGACGGGGCGCCCCGATAAAAAACCCATCGGGGATCAAGTCAGGGATGAGGATTCATTTCGGGTTCGGGGATGGGGCGAGCAAAACCTGCCCCAAACCCGACCCGTTGCCATTCCTACTTATTTTGACAAAAAAAAATAGATACTCAAAGTAGTTGTATATTATAGTTTAAAGACTTACTTAAACCAAAAAATAATTTAATGGCTTAAAGAAATAAAAGTCATAACTTATAGATTTATTTTGACAAAAAAATAATTTATGTACTTAAAGTGGTTATATATAATAATTTAAAGACTTGTTTCAATTAAAAATAGTTTAAGGAATTAAAGTAAAAAGTGAACAAATTTAGGATTTTATTTTAGTTTAAGCCATTAAAGGATGTATTCTGATGTGTTATTGTTTATAAGGCAGGTTTTTTTAATTATTTTTCATTTCATGCCATTTAAGATTAAAATGAAATGCATAACAATATCAAAAATTATACAGTTTTATTCAAATTGAAATCGTGCGTGATATGAGGGGGGCAAATTGTTTTTTATATATAAGAATTAAGATCCACTCACATAACGTAAAACTTATAAATTTACATTGTTTTTGGATCTTTAAATTAATTAATTTCAATAATTGATATTAAATTCTTTAAATTGAAAATGATTTACTGGTTTTTACATAAAAAAATCTATCATTTTTTATTATTAGTCTTAATCATTCATTTTTATTTACTTAACAATCTAAAAAATTTAAATTTAGAAAGGGTAAGTTGTGCGTTTACTATCTAAACTATTGATTTTAGTCCATTTTGGTACCTAAATTTTTAATTTTTTAAATCATACTTAATGTTCAGTTTTTGTTTCATTTTAGTATCCGCCGTTAAAAAAATTAACTTGTTTAGTACCAAAGCTTTAAAAAAAATCAAAACTTAACGTTAAGTTTTTAACGGGTTCTAAAATGAAGTAAAAATTAAACGTGAGATATGGTTTTAAAAAAATAAACTAAAAGTTTAGATACTAAAACGAACCAAACTAATAGTTTATGTATTAAACGCGTAGTTTACCCATTAAAAAAATTACATTACATACCCTCCTTTGTATCTCTCTCTAAACAAACACAAAAGCAAGTGTTGCATCCGATTCCATACAAAATGGATGGTTTTGATTTACTTTATGTATTAAATGATATAATATAAGAATTTAGAAAAAGTTTTTGGGTAATTTAAGGATTGGGTCCGCCCGAATCATGAAAATGCAGTATTTGAGGCAAAATTGTTTTCGGAAATTATAAGTCGGTCCATGTGATTTAGATTCGAATTCGATGACTCGTTACATCATTTCACAGGGTCCATTCAGTCGGAACATAAAAAATACATTTTTATTTTTAGCCACGTAAAGTTATACAATTATTATATCATTCAACTTTATCAAACCCTTACAAAATATCTTTAAGCGTATTGAAATCAATCACTATTTTATAACCTATAATGATAATTTTACATTAGTTTGATAAATTTAACAATTATTTTACAACTCCTAAAATTTAA